TTAAAGGTGTTGGTGCAGTGAAAGGTCAGGGTTCTATGAAAGGCAGGGGTTCTGTAAAAGGTCGTGGTTCTCTCAAAGGTCGTGGTTCTCTCAAGAGTCAACTACAGATGAAGGGTCAAGATCTCCTGGATGAAGCAATTTCAGTTAAAGTTCACACGCAGGTCCAAGGACAGGATCTCTTGGGAGAAGCAGTTTCAGTTAAAGGTGTTGGTACAGTGAAGGGTCAGGGTACTGTGAAAGGTTGGGATTCTTTGAAAGGTCGGGGTTCTCTGAAAAGTCGGGGTTCTCTGAAAAGTCGTGGTTCCCTGAAAGGTCGCAGTTCTTTGAAAGGTCAACAACAGACAAAAGGACAAGATTTTCTGGATGAAGCTGTTTCAGTGAAAAGTTTCTATCCTGTGAAAAGTCACATGCAGGTCAAAGGACAAGATCTGGGAGAAACAGTTTCAGTTAAAGGTGTTGGTGCAGTGAAGGATCAGAGTTCTGTGAAAGGTTGGGGTTCTCTGAAGGGTCAGGGATCTGTGAAAGGTCGGGGTTCTGTGAAAGGTCGGGGTTCTCTGAAGGGTAGGGGTTCTTCCAAAGGTCACCGACAGATGAAAGGACAAGATATCCTGGATGAATCAGTTTCAGTTAAAGGTCTCCATCCTGTGATAGGTGGCACACAAGTCAAAGGACAAGGCCTCTTGGAAGAAGAATTTTTGGTTCAATATACAGAGCCAGTGATTAGCCAAATTTGGATTGATGGACAAGATTTTGTGGAAGAAGCAGTTTCAGTTAAAGGCCTCGGTCCTGTGAAAAGCCACATGCAGATCAAAGGACAAGCTCTCTTGGGAGAAACAGTTTCAGTTGAAGGTGTTGGTGCAGTGAAAGGCCAGGTTTCTATGAAAGGCTGGAGTTCTATGCAAGGTCGCAGTGCTATAAAAAGTTGGGGTTCTGTGAAAAGTTGGAGTTCTGTGAAAGGTCATGGTTCTCTAAAAAGTCATCAACAGATGAAAGGTCAAGGTTTGCTGGATGAAGCAGTGTCAGTTAAAGGTATGCATCCTGTAAAAACTCATGTGCAGGTCAAAGGACAGGATCTCTTGGGAGAAACAGTTTCAGTTAAGAGTGTTGGTGCAGTGAAGGGCCAGGGTTCTGTGAAAGGCCGGGGTTCTGTGAAGGGTCGAGGCTCTCTGAAAGGTCGTGGTTCTCTCAAAGGTCGTGTTTCTCTCAAAGGTCAACTACATATGAAAGGTCAAGATCTCTTGGGAGAAGAGGTTTCAGTTAAAGGAACCCATTCTGTGAAAGGTCATATACAGATCAAAGGACAAGATCTGTTGGGAGAAACAGTTCCAGTTAAAGGTATTGGTGTAGCGAAGGGCCAGCATTCTAAGAAACGCCAGGGTTCTGTGAAAGGCCAGATTTCTGTGAAAGGTCAAGGTTCTGTGAAAGGTTGGGCTTCTCTAAAGGGTCAAGTTTCTCTGAAAGGTCGTGGTTCTCTCAAAGGTCACCAACAGACAAAAGGACAAGATTTCTGGGATGAAGCTGCTTCAGTTAAAGGTCTCCATCCTGTAAAAGGTCATACACAGTTCAAAGAGCAAGATCTCACAGGTGAAGACATTTTAGTTCAACATACTGATCCAATGATCAGTCAAATTGGGGTTGATGGACAAGATTTTGTGGAAGAAGCAGCTTCAGTTAAAGGCCTCGGTCCTGTGAAAAGTCGCATGCAGGTTAAAGGACAAGATCTCTTGGGAGAAACAGTTCCAGTTAAAGGTGTTGGTGCAGTGAAGGGCTGGGGTTCTGTGAAAGGCCAAAGTCCTGTGAAAGGTCAGGGTTCTCTGAAAGGTCGGGGTTCGGTAAAAGCTCGGGTTTCTCTAAAAGGCCATGGTTCTCTAAAAGGTCAACTACAGATGAAAGGACAAGAGCTCATGGGTGAAACAGCTTCAGTTAAAGGCCTCAGTCCTGTGAAAGGCCACATGCAGGTCAAAGGACAAGATTTCCAAAGAGAAGCAATTTCAGTTAAGAATCTTGGCACTTTGAAAGGTCAGAGTTACCTGAAAGGCATGGGTTCTCTGAAAGGTCACCAGCAGATCAAAGGACAAGATCTCCTGGATGGAGCAACTTCAGTTAAAGGTCTCCATCCTGTGACAAGTCACATGCAGGTCAAAGGACATGATCTCCTGGGAGAAATAGTTTCAGTTAAAGGTGTTGGTGCAGTGAAAGGCACAGGTTACCTGAAAGGTCAAGGTTCTGTGAAAGGTCAGGAATCTGTGAAAGGTCGTGGTTCTTTGAAAGGTCACCTACAGATGAAAGGACAAGATCTCCTGGGGGAAGCAGTTTCAGCTAAAGGTCCCCATCCTGTGAAAAGTAGCACACAGGTCCAAGGACAAGACCTCCTGGGAGAGACAGTTTCAAATAAATGTGTCCATCCTGTGAAAGGTGACAAGCAGGTTCAAGGACAAGACCTCCTGGGAGATGCAATTTCACTTAAGGGTCTCAGTTCTGTAAAAGATCAAATGCAGGTCAAAGGACAAAATCTCATGGAAGTAGTTGCAGTTAAAACAGTTAGTTCTGTGAAAGGTCATGTACACATCACAGGACAAGATGCCATGGGAGAATTTTTAGGTCAACATAAAGATCCCATGTTTGGTCACATTTGGGTTGCAGGACAAGATTTCATGCATGAATCATTTTCAGTTAAAGGTCTTGGTTCAGTGAAAGATCGAATGCGGGTCAAAGGACAAAATTTCATTGGAGAAGCACTTTCTCTTGAAGGTCTTGGTTCTCTGAAAAATCATATGCAAGTCAAAGGACAAGATTTCATTGGTGAAGCAATTTCTATTAAAGATCTTGGTTCTGAGAAAGGTCATGTGCAGTTCAAAGGACAGGATTTCATTGGAGAAACAGTTTCACTTAAAGGTCTTGAACCTGTGGAAGGCATGCAGGTCAAAGAACAAGCTTCCATAGGAGAAGCAGTCTCAGTCAAAGGTATTGATTCTGTGAAAGAGCACTTGCAGGTTAAAGGACAAGACCTCCTACAACAAGCAGTTCCAGTCAAAGGTGTAGGTTCTTTGAAAAGTCACATGCAGGTCAAAGGACAAGATCTTCTAGGAGAAACAGTTTCAGTTAAAGGTCTCAGTCCTGTGAAAGGTCAGGGTTCTGTAAGAGGTCTGAGTTCTCCCAGAGGTCCCACGCAGATCAAAGGACAAGATTCCACAAAAGTAGCGATTCTGGCACAAGGTCTAAGTTCTCTGCAAAATCGTATGCAGCTTAATGGACAAACAGGCATGGAAGAAACAGTCTTAACTAAAGGTCAAGATCTTATGAAAAGTCACACACAGTTTAAAGGACAAAATCACATGCAAGAACAAGAAGCATTTAAAGGTCAAGAAACATTCAAAGGGCAAAGTTTCAGTAAGCCTGGCTCATGCCCTGAAATTGTAGCACAATGCACATATGCAAGTAATCCCAACATGTGTGGGAGTGATGTGGAGTGCCCAGGGACTAAGAAATGCTGTTTGGGCATATGCGGGATGGAGTGTTTAATCCCTGAGTGAGTTGAGCACTAGTTGGAAGAAGAGGGGACCTCTGCCAATACAGAAGGGGGTTGAGTAATGGGAAGTAATGTCAGGGTGGTGGAAAGGAGAAAATGGGGAGTTGTTGGACAGACTGAGAGACTGAGGGGTCTCAGGCCATAAGCAAAGTGCAGAGAGGATGTCCCCATCCCTGCACTAGGTCTGAGTTCTTTGACTTGCTGAGTCATATCTCTGATTCTCTTCTCTCCCACCGGGTAAAACCTGTCCTCAGTGTACCTGTCCTCGGCCCAGGCCTGCAGACTTCTCTCTAGTGCCAACTCTTAGTAGCACAATCTTTTCCCACAGTGCCCATTATTCCTTTTGTTCTGGATGCCCAGTCCTGGAACTGTCTTTATCTTCTACTTTCCAATAAAAAGAAAAAAAAAAAAAAACCTCTTTTGCTCCATTTGTTTCTAGCTGCTGTGATTTCTGGACTCCTGAAAGCTCTGGGAAAATGGATATAAATATGAAGGAGACTAGATCTCTCTAGTGGAGAGACAAAAAGACCAGGAGACAATTCCTTGGCTGTGAAGCACAGTTGGACCAGGAACAAGAGCCACATTCCCAAGGCTTAATGTTAGAAATCCAGCTCAGGTACCAGAGTCTCTTGAGAAAGCAATGCTAATCAGCAAAGCTGCAATTTTGCCTTTGACAAGAAGCCACACAGAGAGAAACAATGAAACAAAGAACATTACATAAATCGCAGACATGTCTTTTCGTTTCCATTCCACTGTCAGTCTTGACCTGGCTACTTTTTGTCATGTATTATGACCAGCCAACCTTAGAGCTAAACATACAACTCCCTCCTCCTTTTTCTTTAATATTACCAGGCATCTATATTCTTCACAGAAGACAGACAAGGAATGACATTACAGGTGCTGAGAAATCCATATAAGAATTTCAGAGATTCAAGTCTAAGAGTCCTCTGGCATTTCACGCTTTTTAGTGGAGCAATGTCTTCCCCCAGACTTAAGTTTTAAAATGTGAATGAAGAGGTAAGCTACACTAAGTTCTTGATACCTTAGTATAAATAGTGTGGAAAATGTTTCCATAAATATACAATAAGCTGGGGGTTAGTAGTATGGGTATGGGAGTTACATTGAACAAACATGATAAACTTCATGGATGTGTGGTTGAGCACAATATAGGAAGTAATAAAGGTTTATGTATTTTACCACCCCACTGCCTTTGTACCAGGAAGCTCTTGAATAGAATGAAAAGAGCATAAACATACTCAGAAGTCAGGTGAACTGACAGTTTTCCCCAGCTTTTCCTCCCAATTTTGGGTGGTCCCTAAAAACTCTGTTTCTTTCTGAGTCTCAGCTGTACACTTAAATTGGATGGGTTGGGTATAGTTATTCAGAACATTTGGTCTGGCCCTGCCATTTTGGAATCAAAATCAACTGCTTTCTTTCTATTAAGACTCCTACTGTGAGTGGAAGTGGAAGTAGAGAGCAGAGATTTGGGGTAGAGAACAGGAAGAACTGCAGCCCTTTCCCCTTCCATGAGCAGAGAGAATGGCTTCCATCCCTCTCCAGGATAAGTGGACTGCACAGGAGCTTGGCTATCTGGACATCTTATGATATGTGGAAAGCAGTACCCAGACTTCTGGTCTGACAAATGTACAGCACAATATAGGAAGTAATAATTGGTTTATGTATTTTACCATCCACTCTATCCAGGTCCTAAGCTTAGTAGATTATATATATCATGTTTATTTTCTATTAAAATACTCTAAGATTGGCATTATACATACTTTTCTAATTTTGTTACAAATTCATAGTAAGAATGGTTAAGCAATCATCCAAAGCCACACAACTAGCAAGCGATGCTAAGCTATGCTTTTATTATATACCAGCATTAATCAAAGGAAATGTTTTCTATTCACATTTTAGTCATTTTTATTAGTACATATTAATTATATGGAACAGTGAGTTCCATAGTGGCATTTTCATGGAAACATTACCATTTATAATATCAACAAAGTAATACCATTCATATAATTAAACAGCAAAAGCATGCAGAACTTTAAAATTAAAAACTCCAAAACTTTTCAGAGATGCATTTAAAACTGCTTAAAGAAATACATATTGTGCTCCTAAAAGTGAAGACAACAGAATTCAATAACATTTCAGTATACTTTTTAAGCTTACAACACTCCAACTTTCTGTTTATTTGGGTTTTTATTTTTCCCCAGAAGTGGTAAGGAACTATGAAATAACTTAAAAAACATACTTTCATGTGAAAGACTAAATGCTTGTGAATGGACATAGAAACTTGAAAATGATTAATTTTAGGAAATCTGAGCCTTTAAAATGTCCTACAAAGTGACAACGAATATGTTGGGTTTGTCAGTAACAACATGAGGCAGAAAGATAAATTAATGGAAGAAAACCCCAGAAACTTGCCTTGCTATATTTAACCTGAAGTAAATTAAATGTGAAGTTTCAGAATAACAAATAAATGAATAAGACTTACCATATTCAAGAAACAAAGATCCTGGAGAAATTCAGAAGATCAACAATATCTACTAGGAAAATCTCGGAAAACACAGTAGAAATGGACAGATTCTATTTACATATGAATTAGCAAAGCTGAATAAAGAAGATATAAAAATCCTGAATAATCCAGTATCAGTCAGTGAAATTGAAAATGTAAGTAAAACTTAATAAAGAAAAGCCTAGATCCTGTTGGATTAAAATCTACAAGAAGGGCCGGGGAGATGACTCAGTAGAGTAAGCGCTTCCCTGGCAAGCACAAGGGTCTGAGTTCAATTCCCAGTTCTGAAAAAAAAAAAAAATCTACAAGAAATTTTTAGAGAATACTTAAAATCAATACTTCTCAAACTCTTTATAAAGTTGAAAGGGAAGAAATTCTCCCTAACTTATTCCTGGAAGCAAGTATTACTCTGATACCAAAACCAGAAAAGGATCCAACCAAAAAAGAGACTGCTGGCCAATCCCTCTACTGAAAATAAATGCAAAAATCCTCAGTAAAATAGGAGCAAACAGAATACAGCAAATCATCCAGAAAATTTTACATCATGACCAAGTGGATTCATCCCAGGAATGCAGAAATGGTTCAGTACATGCACTCAATAAGTGTAATACACCATATCAACAGAGCCAAAGACAAAAATCTTGTGATATTCTCAATAGATGCAGAAAAACATTTTGATAAAGTCCAACATCCATCCATGATCAAAACACTACAGAAAATCAGAATAGATGGTCTTTACTTCAATCTGATAAAATCCATCTATTACAAACCAACAGCCAACATCATACTAAATGGACAAAAACTGAAAGCTTGCAGTTTAAAATCAGGAACAAAACAAGGATGTCCACTATCACTATTACTATTCACTATAATTCTGGAAACATTAGCCAGGCCAATTAGATGAGAGAGAAATAAAAGGAATAAGTGGCTAGCGAGATAGCTCAGTGGACTAAGTGCCCCCTCAGGCAAATATAGGGACCCGGGTACTATCCCTGGCACCACAGGCCATGTCGGCCCTGCCCCCAGGAGTGTGGTGATGCACACCTGTAATCCCAGTGCTGAGAAGGCTAAAAACAAGAAGATTACTAGGAGTCTGAGCTTCTTAATGAGACCTTTTACCAAAGAGATAAATAAAAAAAGTTTTAAAAAGTGATAAGAATAGGAATAAAAAAGTTAAATTATCATTACTTAAAGATAACACAATATACTACATGGGAGACCGCAAAAACTCCACCAAAAGAGTTGTAGATTTAATAACTAAATTCAGTAGCACACTTGGATACAAAGTCAGCACTCAAAAATAAATAACATTCCTGTGCAAAAACAACAAACTCACTGAGAGAGAAATTAGGGAAGCCATACTTTTCACAATTGTATCAAAAAGTGAAATACTGGGCCTGCAAGATAGCTCAGAGGACTAAGCACCTGCTTAGACAAGCACAGTGTCCAGGGTTTGATCCCTGGTACCACATGCATGCAAAGTACCACATGCATGCCAGCCCTGCTCCCACGTGCACTGAGCTGGCAACCGAGTCCAGGCATGGTGGTGCATGCCTGTAATCCTAGCACTGGGGAGGCTGCAAACAAGAGGATCACTAAGCCCAAGCTGCATAGTGAGACCCTGTACCAAATACATAAATTTTTAAGAAATAAAAAGTGAAATACTTAGGAATCAATCTCACAAATAGAGTAAAAAATCTATACAATGAAAATTACAGTACTCTGCAAAAAGAGATTGAAGAGGATTTCAAAAAATGGAAAGATATTCCTCGTTTATGAATAGGAAGAACCAACATTATAGAAAGGACCATACTCCCTAAACTTTTGTGCAGATTTAATGCAATCCCAATCAAAATACCATTAGTATACTGTACCACACAAATGGAGAGAACACTTTCCTAACATTCATCTGTATCCATAGGACTGGCAATATCTTGATCCATTTTGAATTGATTCTTGTACAAGGTGAGAGACAAGGATCTAGTTTCAACTTTCTATATATCACTATCTAATTTTCCCAGCACCATTTGTTAAACAAATGTCTCTTCTCCATCACAGTCTTCTGGACCCTTGGTCAAGAATCAGATATCGTAGTTACCTGGGTTTATTACTGTGTCCTGTATTATGTCTCATTGGTCTATGCACATCTGTTCTTGAACCGTGCTCTCTTTGTTCCTACGGCTTTGTAGTATAATTTGAAATCAGGAATTATGATGCCACCTGTACTGTAACATCCTGTAACTCAGTGGTGTTCCAAATTTTCTGATCAAGGAGATTATGAAGCCACAGAGGAAAAAGATCAATAATGTATAATGTGCCTAAGGAGAGTCACCTAGAGAGAAAACATTTTCTCAGGCCTTCACAGAAAGCAAATGGGTCAAGCAATGGCTATGACTCATTCACATGACTGACACTAACAAAGGATCTACAAACTGCAGTACAGGGTTTCAGGGTAAATCCTGAGGGGAACTGACTGAACTTGG